GCTACACTTTGTAAGGGAAAAGAATCCCTTATTGGGGCTTTATTTAAAAACAAGGCAGTATTCTTAGAGAAGTTCTGGGGTCAATACACACTCAATCCTGTCTCCTAAATTTTAGCATCCTTAAGAATAACTTAGAGACCTTTTTACAGGGCAAATTACTGGGAGATTTAATCTCCTCTGGAGATTAAAATTCAGTGGAATGTGACAGAGTCCAGGACGCTGCATTTTAGCACTTTAAGAATCCTATTCTAAAACTTCCACTTTATGTGGAAGAAATATTTCACACAATAATCAAGGGAGTTGATTATATGTCTGACTCAAATGACGGAAAGATCCAGAAGATGGGTGTTATACCTTGGCATCACTATTCACCAGATCAGGCAAGTCACTTCCGCTCTCTGAGTCCAAGTGTCCCCATTTATTAAAAGTAACACACATTTGGGAGGCGCCTGTGGCTCAAAGGAGTAGGGCGCCAGCCCCATATGCCAAAGGTGGCGGATTTAAACCCAGCTCGGGCCAAAAACTGCAACAACAACAAATAAAATAAAATAAAATAAGATTTAAAAAAAAGTAACACGTATTTATTGACTGGGCGCGGTGGCTCACGCCTGTAATCCTAACACTCTGGGAGGCCAAGGGGGGTGGATTACCTGAGCTACAGGTTTAAGACCAGCCTGAGCAAGAGTGAGACCTCATCTCTAAAAATAGCTAGGTGTTGTAGTGGGCACCCATAGTCCCAGCTACTTGGGAGGCTGAGGCAAGAGAATGGCTTGAGCCCAAGAGTTTGAGGTTGCTGTGAGCTATAATGCCACAGCACTCTACTGAGGGCGACAACATGAGACTCTGTCTCAAAAAAAAAAAAAAAAGAGAAAGGGGATTTTGCTTAATTTCTAAGTAGCCTAAGAAGTTATTACCCAGAACATCCTATTCCTAAGCATTCTAACTGACTATTTTCCTGGTCCATCAACTCTGTAAGTAATGTACAATTAGGAGTAGGTTTCCTGTCGAGGGGAGCTGCTTTGATTCCAGCAAAGATAAATAGGTCCAAGGTTACGTGTGATTTCATTCATAAGGTCTTTTGGAAAAAGCAAAACTATAGTGACTGAGAACAGGGCAGGGTTCCCGTGAGCTAAATGAGGGGAGAAGGCGTGACCACAAAAGGGCAGCAGGAGAGAGTTTTTTGGTGACGGAACCATCACTGTGACAGTACTTACAGGTATCCTTATGTGTGCTAAAATTCATCAACAGTACACAAACATAAGCAGTTTTACTAAGTTAGTTAAAAAACAGTAGGCCAGGGACTGGGTGCCATAGCTCAGTGAGTAGAGTGCCAGCCACATACACCAAAGCTGGTGGGTTTGAGCCCGGCCCAGGCCTGCTAAACAACAATGACAACTGCAAACAAAAATAGCCGGGCGTTGTGGTGGGTGCCTGTAGTCCCTGCTACTCAGGAGGCTGAGGCAAGAGAATCACTTAAGCCCAAGAGTTAGAAGTTGCTGTGAGCTGTGATGCCACAGCCCTCTACTGAGGGCACCATAGTAAGACTGTCTCAAAAATAAAAATAAATCACATTTTGAAAAAAAAAATAGGCCAGGTATGGTGGCTCATGCTAATAATACCAGCATTTTGGGAGGCAAAAGTGGGAGGATCACTTGAGGCCAGCAGTTTGAGACCAGCCTGAACAATATAGCAAGACTCATCTCTACAGAGAATTGAAAAATTAGCCTGGTGTGGTGGCAGGCACCTATAGTCCTAGCTACTCAGGAGGCTTGAAGCAAGAGGATTACCCTGGGCTCAAGGTTGCAAATGAGGTGTGACTGCACCACTGTACTCCAGCCTGGGTGACAGAATGAGACCCTAGCCCTAAAAAAATAATAAAAAACAAAGTTAATTGGCTGGGTACAATGGCTCATAACTGTAATCTTAGTACTCTGAGAGGCTGAGGCAGGAGGATCCCTTGAGCTCAGGAGTTTGAGACCTGCATGAGCAAGACTGAGACCCCCATCTCCACTAAAAATAGAAAAATTAGGCTCTGGGTGGTGGGAGGGTGACTGGAAAGATCACCTATATGGTCTGTCTAACAAGGGTACAAGTGAACTTTTCTAGAACTAGAGTATAAATGTTTTAACACAATAACTAAGTAAATGACATAAAGTCTATGTTAACCAGCTTGATGAAAGTATTTCAAATTGTATATGAAAACACTA